CACACACACACACACACACACACACACACACACACGCGAACTTCTGCCCATATTTCTTGATGACTTCCTAGAGACTAAAGCCCACACATGAACCCAGGACTGGCCTCTCCAGGCACCCCGCCGCACGCCCCTCCTTCTCCCTGTCCCTTCTACTTCTGATGCTCCACTTCAGCCACAGTCTTTGCACAATCTGTTTTCCTGCCTGCAACACGCTCCCTACTCTTAGAAGCATTACCAGTACCTTGACCGGCACCAATAGGGCACCCAAGGTACCGTTATCCTTAGACAGGTATTTATTTCTATCTATCCTGTACTTCATAATGTGAGCCCTCTGAGGACAGAGACCATGTCCTTTCATGCACCCCCCCAGATCAGTGAATGGCAACTCTGCCCTTCCAGGTGCTTGGAAAAGTCTGGAGTCTACCTGACTTCCCTCACACCTCATGTCTGACCTGTGGATTCCCAGGATGCAGCCATTTCTCACGCCCTCTCCCTGCAGCCTCCTCGATCCCAGCCACCATCACCTCATACCTGGATTAGATTAGTAGTCTCTGCCTTTGTCTCTGCTCATCTCCTTGGCCAGAGGGAGCCTGTTTCCACTAAGATCATGTCCCATTCTCTGCTCAGACCCTTCCATGGTTCCCAGCTCACCCACGGCTAGAGTCCAAGTCCTCACTGCACCCTGTGCTTCCCCGGCCTCATTTCTTACTGTTCACTCCCTCACTTCCTCCACTCCAGCCATAGGGGTCTCCTTGCTGGTTCTTGAACGTGCCAGGCATGCTCCTGCTTCAGGGCCTTTGCACTGTGGCCTCTTCTGCCTGCACTGATCTTCCCTCAGATAGCCGGGTGGTTTACTCCCTTCCTCATACATGACCTTCTCAGGCCTTTGCTGACTAATCTATTTAAAATTCCAAATTCCCCATCCCTCACACTCATCAACCTCCTGCTGGAGTCCCGGTATCCAAAGCAGCATCTGGGACAGAGGGATGTTCAACAACTATTGGTTGGAGCTGTATATGAGTGACTGTCTTCCACCCAAAATTTGGGCCAATAAGGAACTTCATCTCTTGAAGAAAATGTTCTGAAACTGATTGAGGGGATCATTACACAATCTTTTTAATACAAATAAACAATTAACTTGTATGATATGTGAAGCATACACCAATCAAACTATTTTTAAAAGAATCTTAACTCTTCAGCCTTTGCTCCCAAGCCTCCTTGGTGGTGGTCATTGTGATGGACACCAAGAACATGGTGACAACCAAGCATGGTCCACTTTGGTCAACACGGGACTCAAAAAAACAAGATAAAATGCTGTCCTACAAGTTCAGAAGTCTGCTGATTCTTGATTATGTAGAAGGCCTGGCCCCCTAGGTGCATAATCCCTTAGAGCAGCCATCAGTAGGGCCAAGCAGAAGCTGCTCCCGTGAGATGAGACACAAATATGCTAATGTGGTAGAGACATAATCTGGTGTCAACTTGAGACTATTAAGCATGAAGGGGTGGGGTAGAGCCTGTCAATCAGGTCTCAGCTTGATGACCTCATTTGGAAGCACAACAGAGATAAATAGCTCACTGCAGGCCAGATACACTCCCTACCTGCAAGACATTCCTGTTGACAAGCCAGATGGAGCTACACTAATGGAGCCAGACCCCTGAAGCTAGAGGAGCCACATGGACACCCACGCCAGCACTGAGATGCTTCCGTCACAAGACTTTCTACTCACTGGCCTGTGATCTTCCTGCATTCGGCATCATTGCATGTGTTGCATGAGTCTGAAGAGAAATTTATAGACTGGTATCGGACATATGGGCTAATATTGGACTTGATCTGGACTGGGCTGAAATGTTTCCTTAATATACAATTACTCTTTGATATAAAGATCTTTCTTATACACGTGTGTCTATGAATTTGCTTCTCTAGTCAACCCAGACTAACACAGCTGGTTGGCCACAGCTCCCGGGTGTTCACCTCTGTCGCCCAGCTAAGCCCCTGAGACACTAGGGAATAAGGCTAAGAAGGAAGGCAGGGGCTAGATCACAAATGGTCCTGAGTAGCCACCCAAGGTGTTGCCTGCACTCTTATTTACATTACCCTTCCAAAAACACACGAGGCTGCAGTGGGGTGAGCACCTCTCCCGTGGTTTCATCAAGCTCTACCCTGAGATGAAAAGCCCTCCTCTCCCCTCAAGACAGCAAGAGTCCTTTATCTGTTATAGATGCAAGTCCCTTATCAGACAGATGATATGCAACTTTTGTTTCCCATTCTATGAGTTTTCTATTCACGGCCTTTTTTCCTCTACATTTTATTGTTTTATTCTATTTTATGTATCTATTCACTTCCTTCTTTGATTTTTTTTTTAAGGATAAATACAGCCAAACCGTTTCTACATCTACAATTTACTGGTGATGCTTGGTTACTTCTTGGAGTTTCACAGCTATCCTCTTCTTCTTCTTTTTACTTTTTAACATTTTATTGTTTCTGTGAACACACAGAGCCCAGCCGTTTAGCATCCAATAATTGATATGTATTTTGTTTCACGACATCGGTTGCAATCCGCCTCAGCGCCCTTCTCGTGCCCTTCCTGGGTGTCCGTTCCTTGACCTACCTGCCCTGCGAGGCTCTGTTTGTGGACAGATGATGCCCTTGTGCTTACAGATGCCTGACTTTTCTGAGGACTACATTACAGGTGAGTGGTGGTGTGCACTACATCGGTCTGTCTGCTGTTTGGCTGTAAAGTGGTTCCCAGAGGTGGATTCAGCACCAGGGTGTCTAAGGTAATAGTCTTGGGGCTCCACTAGTCTCTTATCAGAACAGTTAAGTCTGATCATTTTTATGATTTTGAATTTTGTTTTACATTCCTCCCTCCACCTACTCTGTCCAGGACCTTCTGTTGTGACCCTGACCAGAGTAGTTGATAGTGGTAGCCAGGTACCATGTAGCTTTTCTGGTCTCAAGAGATAGTGGTTCCCAAGATCCAGCCAACCTTTTCACCTATATTTCTCTTTCACTGATATAAAGTCACTTCCCCTTACAGTTATCATTTAGTATTTCAAGTTGCTGTTGTCCATCAGATCCCATCGAGAGAGTTCTTAAAAGAGCATAATGTTCAAGGCAGACCTTTTTAACTATTTAAGCTAAATTATTATTCGGTTTTAAAATGACTCCAGGAGTATTTTTGGTTTGTGGTTTAAAGATGATCTCATCCCCTCTGATCCAAGACCAGGGATGTGAATACCCTTGCTTCCTTGCCGAGGGCATTGCGAAGTTGTTGCAGATATCATCATTAGGTAAAAAAAATTAACACCTTACCATTTGATCTCCCTTTTGGCTCATTTAAAGTTGTTTTAGTTTTTAATGTTTTCTGCTCCCCCCCTCCACTGAGGTTTTTCTCTGTTTTACTTTGTTAGTTTCTTGGTGGTGATGGTAGTTTATTTGTTGTATGTTTTCTGTCTATGAAATCCGGTATAAGCAAATCTCTAGAGGCAGTAACTGGCCTAATCATTTCTTGGGGGCATGTCAGGGGAGGTAGGAGGGAAATGGGGAGCTAATAACCATGAGGGTGAGAAAGAATGTGGGAAACAGAAGGATTTCTCTCAAGCTGTCTCCCCCAAATACATGCCAGACTTAGTTGCTTGAGAATGACTATACACTTGGAGGTCATCAGGAGTGGATTGGGGATCATTCTCAGCTGTCTAGACCAAGCAGACATCACTGTTTATCCCACAAGTAGGGCCCACTCCCTTCCGATAAGGATAGTAGTTGTCTGTTTCCTTGTAGGAGACACTGGAGAGGTCAAACCCGCCCAAGGATGACCAAGATGTCATCCTTGTCACATGTATACCCCTATGTCACATGTATACCCCTAGACTTTCCCATTCCTATAGGCACACCCCTAGCTCATCCCTTCCTGTTACGCTTATGCCTGTCATAGATCCCCTTCCTACAATGTATATGCCTATTGCACTATCCCTTCCTGTGACATGTGATTCTGTAATCATGTCCCCCTAAAGTGAGATAACGATTGGTTAGCAATAAAGAGGCTCTCTCCGGAGCCCGGGAAGCTCTCCCCGGTCCTGGCTTCCCGGGGCCCTCTCTGGCTCTCGGGCCAGGGGAGGCTGCCCGATTCTCGGTCCCCGAGGCTGCTCCTGCTCTCGTGGCCGGGTTCCCCCCACGAGGACCATCAAGCAGGGCTGAGGTGAGCAATGCTACCATGAATTGTGCCTGACTCCATTACTCATGCTCTATGACTTTACTATAATCTTTACTTATTATCACTGTACAATTGCGCCTACCAGACCTGTGATGATTTGTGGGGTACCCCTTTCCTTTATCCCCACAGTTCAGCTTCAGCATGAGTACAATTAAGTGTTCTTCTCAAGGTTATCGAGAGTTTGTTATGATCCACAGTCAATTTCAAAGTCAATAAAACACAAGTAGACATCTCTCTTATATTCTCTGCGTTGAGC